TCTCCTCTCCCTCTCCCTCTCCCTCTCCTCTCCCTCTCCCTCTCCCTCTCCCTCTCCCTCTCCCTCTCCCTCTCCCTCTCCCTCTCCCTCTCCCTCTCCCTCTCCCTCTCCCTCTCCCTCTCCCTCTCCCTCTCCCTCTCCCTCTCCCTCTCCCTCTCCCTCTCCTTCACCTGGTCGTTCACCCTTTCCTCATCTTCCCGCCCCCCCCCTTCTTCTCCTTCTCCTTCTCCCTCTATCTGCGAGCAGTCACGGAGAAGAACAAGTTGGAGTACGTACGATCGCTGGCTCAGTGGGTCAAACAAGGTGAGTTGACGTGTTGATGTTTGTTCGCGTGACGGGAAGCAGGCAGGTGGGCGGCTGAAGTCGAGCTGATCGCCGAGGGATTCTTGAGCGTCATACCTCGACAGGTAACGAGAGAGCGAGGGAGAGAGCAGCAAGAACAGTGTCGGGAGGAGGAGCAGGAGCAGGAGCAGGAGCAGGAGCAGGAGCAGGAGCAGGAGCAGGAGCAGGAGCAGGAGCAGGAGCAGGGGCAGGAGCAGGAGCAGGAGCAGGAGCAGGAGCAGGAGCAGAGAACTGCACTGTAATATGCTAACATCTCTGTTCCCTTCAGTTTCTCGTCCACTTCTCGCCCCTCGACCTTCAAATCTTGCTGTCAGGCAGCAAACTGCTGGACCTGGAGGACTGGAGGGTCAACACACTTTACACCAACGGATATCATCCCAACCATCCCATCATCGGTTACTCCCTCCCTCCTCGTCACTCCCTCCCTCCTCGTCACTCCCTCCCTTCCCCTCCTTCCCCTCCCCGCCCTCAACCTTCACCTCTGTCCGTCCTTCCTACCTCGCTTGTTCTTCTTCCAACCTCCCCCCCTCCCTTTCTCCCTCCCTCCCTCCCTCCCTCCCTCCCTCATCACTTTCATGTTCAGTTTGGTTCTGGAATGTCGTCCACGAAATGTCAGAGGAGTCTCGTCTCAACCTACTTCGCTTCACTACAGGTGGGAAAGAAGAGAGGCAAGGAAGGAGGAGGAGGATGGAAATACAGACAGACTTGTGTTGAGAGCATGGAAGAGGAGGAGCAGAATGGGATGGTGGGAGAGGTGTAGAGCATGGGAAAGGGGAGAAGATCGAGAGGGGATAGTGGATGAGGAAGAGAGGGTGGGAGGGAAAGAGGAGATGAAGAAAGGGGGGAAGGGAGGGAGGGAGGGAGGGAGGGGAGGGAGAGGATGTGACGACTTGATCTGTCAGGGTCTTCTGCTGTCCCTGGTGGAGGTTTCGCGAACCTGCAAGGATCGGATGGACTTCGAAGATTTTCAGTGCAGCGATCGACAAGCATCGAGCAGCTGCCGCATGTGAGAGGAGGGAGGGGGAGAGAATGCTGGAAGCAGGGAGAAGCAGGAGAGAGAAAGAGGGGGGAGGGGAGGGGATGAGGTGGAAAGGTGAGGAGGTGAGAGTGAAGAAAGAAGAGAAGGAGTACAGAGGATAACAGGACAGGACAGAAGAGGTGGAGAGGTGGAGAAGAGAGGAGAGGAGGGGAGCGGAGGGGAGAGCAGAGCGAGGGGGAGGAGAGGAGAGCAGATGGAGAGAACGACGAAGATAGGAGAGGAGGGGAGAAGGGAGAAGGGAAAGGTAAGAAGAATGCAGGAGAGCAAAATGATAAGGAGATGTCAAGAAAAACGTTGAAAATGATGGAAACAAGACACGTAAGACAGCGATCTCTTCGAATCCCAATCAATCTCATCAAACTCACGTGTATACGGGCTCCCCACACCGGGCGCAGTTGCCCCTGTCTCGGCTGGGAAACTGATGAGAAAGAAGGAGGGGGAGGAGGAGGAGGAGGAGGAGGAGCAGGAGGAGGAGGGCAGGAGCAGGAGCGAGAAGGTGAAGGATGAGGAGGATGAGGAGGACGAGGACGAGGAACGAGATTTCACTTGTTGGAGTTATCGCTGCCGCTGGAATTTGAGAGCATGCTTTGGTCCCCCTCCGTCTTTTGCGTCTGTGATGCAGTCATCCAAGGGAAGACAGAGAGGAGAGAGGAGAGATCTCGAAGAAAGAGGAGAGAGGGGAGGAGTGAGGAGTGAGGAGTAAGGAGATAGAGGAGGAAGAGTGACGAGGGGACAACCTGGTTGCGGCGATCAGCAGCAGAAGTTTCAAAGAATTCTGCTCCTCTTGATGAATCTTTTCCTTTCAGCTTATCTTGTGCATTGTGATTCTGAACATCTTCAGCTTTATGAGGAGTTGGAATCAGCCCCATCAATCGTTTCTCGATTTCCTGCGACATGTCGTCAAATATTTTTTCTTTTACAGAAACGAAGAGATGAAACGACATTCGATTGTTTACAAACACAGAGATGCTTTTCTGACATTGAAAGTTATGACTAACTCTTCTCGAACTTGTCATGTAATTTGCAACTTTACAATCATATCATTGGTATTGCCACGTTCAGCGTTTCTGACAGCTTTTCACATTCGCAAAAATCAGCTTGTCATGGACGTGCAACGTCTGACGTTTCAGATTGACATGGACATTTGACAACCTCGTGGGTCTCGATCGCCGGAAGTTTCAGCTTGTGAACAACGCTTGATATGTCATGCGACATCCTGAGAATAAGTCACTGAAGAAGTGCGGAAGGGAGGCGCAGAGAGAGGAGGAGAAGAGAAGGAGGAGGAGAAGAAGGAGAAGGAGGAGGGGAGGAGGAGGAGGAG